AGACGCTGGGGTGTCCGTATTCGGCAAACCACTGAAAGAAAGTTTGAAGTACGCGAATGTCCAGATATCCACTGCTGGTGCAAACGGGGACCTTTACGTGTGGGGTTACGTTCCAGTGGTTGTGGCGAAGTGGTATGTGGTGTGAATTCATGGTCTTATCCGTATTCTTACGTTCCGACACATAGCGGCCTTTATCTCAAAGAACACGGTTCGTGATTCATCTCTCCTTCCCCTCAAGCAATTCGCCGTATCAATTCGTTTCACAGCGACGGAAGTCCCGGGCACGTTTCGGGTCAGTGGGTCGAACAAGAGGATGCGAGAACTGCAGGCAAAGTTTGAGTCTCCTCCAAGAGTGCGTCCTGGGACTAGCAGCGTGGGCTTTCCTGACCATGTGCCTTTAGTATGGCAAAAACATTGACTGGAAGAAAGAGACATATACTACCCACGATGTCGCCAGCGTTTTTCGAAGATACCTCACGCAGATGCCTGTAGGACTTCTCTTTTACATGTTGTTGGTTCTGTTTTAAACAATCGCAGGAACCCGTGATACCCCACAATATGTACCATCTGGTTCGCCCATTCCCTTCCTCGTCACAATAGGAAAACACTCATTGGCTTGCCAAGTTTCGGGACGCCTTGAGTGCGTCACCTTCCTTCTCATTCTCTCTCGATTCTTACATACGATCTAGCAAAGCAGATATACAATCAAGATGAAGTTATTGCGACATACAAACGACTAATCAAGCAGATGCCCCGTCATAATCAATTCCTTCTGCTATATGTCCTTGATCTCCTTTCAGTGTTTGCTCGGAAATCGGAAAAGAACCTGATGACAGCAACCAGTTCGTCGCGCGATCATTCGAATCCTCCTGTGATACATTGCTCAAGCTACCTCTAGATCTCGCTGTCATATTTCGACCGGGCCTAATATCGCATCCCGACCACGAAATGTCTCCCGGAGAACATGCCCTCAGCCAGCAAGTGCTGGAGTTCCTGATCGCACATCAAGACCACTTCATGCTCGACATTCCTCCTCCGCCAATTGACAGGTCTGGGTCGCCGCCACCTGCACAGTCCGACATCGCGGACATTACCATCGTCCCCAGCTCGGATGAGGAGCTATCTCACGTTGGCGGTGGGTGGAAACTCGTCAACAGAGTGCGACCTCCCGTTTCACGGCGGCGGACCACAATGGATAACAATGGTAGGTGACGTTGCTGCCCTAGCCAAACACTCACACTTCAAAGCACTTCTCTGCAGAGCCGCATGGAATCCTAACTGAAGGCAGCATGTCGCCCGTCCCTGAGAGCCCGTCAGAAAAGTCCGTACATGGCGTGAAACGAAGCCGCACCCTCCCATCCCGGAGAAAGGGCAATGCATCAGACGGCGATGAGCATCCGCGGGTCCTTCGGAAACAGAAACGCGTCTCGGCTTTGCAGCCAAGTTCATCTCGAACTGGAACGTTTGACACCCTCAAAAGCTAGACCTCTGCTGTTTCTGATTTGTATATGGTGGATGATACCCTGGACATTATGTTTACCCCATGACGACTATCGGACCTGCTCTCTTGATTTACGTATCTTAGTACTTACCTACTTATATCTCTTCTTATTTAATGTACTACTGGGCTGTTGAACTGAGGTAGCAGTTTCTAAATACTTATGTACAAACTTCCATTTGAAGTCCCTTTCAAAGGTTGAATTTAACCTTTTGCCGATGACTATTTTTGGTGTCAGGTGTGGTGCACGGCATTGATGGGCAAGACGAAAATAGCCCAATCACTACAGATCGTTGGCGTGGGGAAGGTCAAGGAAGATCCCTATTTCAACGATTCAACCATCTGTTGATCCACGCGACGACCACCTCTGGATCGCCAGAAGCCAGTCCCCACCATGGCCCACTACAGGGACCAACCGCAACACTCGACAGACCTGCAAGACTATTACGATGACACTCATGCACAGGTGCGCAGTAGCATTGCCTGCCGTCCATGACCGAGTCCTGTCTGATGCTGACATCCCGGACAAGTCCATGCCGCGACACGCGGGCTATCCAGCCCAGTCACCCTTCGACTCAACGCAGGATATACCTTTAACGGCTGCAGGTTCTCGGGCTGCTCCAGGAGGCCTCATGTACACCCAAGCCGCTACACACTCGACACCTAACGTGACCAACGCAGGCGGCCAATATAATGCCAACCAGAGCTACAAGCCGTCCGACTGGATGGAGAGCACGCACTCGAGCAATAAGCGGTCGAAATGGATTGTATGTGCCACCTTCCTCGCTTTGTTGCCATACTGACACTCCGTAGATCGTTGCGTCTGTCATCGGGCTGCTTGCGCTAATAGCCATTGGTGTTGGCGTTGGAATTGCTCTGGCGAATAAGAACAAGAAGGGGAACTCGAAGCCAGGTACTAACACACCGCAGGTAGTCAACCAGACGGACCCCAATGATCCCAGCACGTTCGTCAAGAACACCAACCTCCACCAATCATTTTATGGTATGGCCTATACCCCGGAGGGTTCTCAGCTTCCTTCCTGTGGAAGCCAGCTACGTGAGTGGCACTCCTTGTTGCATGTCATCATATCATATAACTTGTCAACGCAGCCGATGTTATTCAGGATATACAGGTTCGTCAAGGTTAGAGTTTCTTATTGCGTCCTGGCCTAACCATACATTTAGCTGATGTCGCAACTAACCACTGTGCGTGCATCGTTTGTCTGCTCTCCAAAATTGTGGCTGATCTTGCCGGGCTGCAGCGCATCAGGCTATACGGCGCGGACTGCAATCAATCGGCTCTCGTTGTGAGTATATTTCTGTCACGATAGCCTCAGGTGGTCATAATCGTCACCCTAGCTCGAAGCCATCAAGCAGACGAAGGTCAATATGAAAGTCTGGCTCGGTAACTACGTCATTGCCACAGACAACGGCGCTGCCTACGAACGACAGCGTGACCTTATCAAGTCAGCCATCCAGACCTACGGCACTGATAACGTCGGTGGTGTCACCGTGGGCAACGAGTTTATGCTCAAGTATGTACCATTATTCGGTCACTGGATCCGTGACTCATTGGCTCGACAGCTACCTAAATGCCAACGGCGGGACAGTCCCAGACAGCTCTGTTGGCGACGCCGGTGCCGCCATTCTCATCGCAAACATCCAGGATACCCGGAGCATGCTCACCTCGCTGGGTGTAAATCTTCAGGTCGGCACCTCGGACGCAGGTAGCTACTTTAACACGAAGGTGCTGCAGGCTGTGGACTATGGAGTAAGGCCGTATTTTCGTTCTGCGGTTGGCTTGACACGGATCTGACGACTGTATGACAGATGGCGAACGTTCACCCATGGTTCGCCAACGTTTCCGAATCAGACGCCGCCGGCTGGACGGCAGACTTTTTCAAGACCACTGACGTTGATGCTGCTGCGGCATTGTCAAATAACCCTAAGATGTATATTGCTGAAACGGGTGCGTGTAAGGCTCGATTGAGGTTGAATTGTCGTCTAATCAAGTGGTTTCTGTCCAGGTTGGCCAACCGTGCATAATATTTTACTTCCGCTTCGTTCAAATATTCATTCTGGTAACTTAGAAATCTTCTGATGCGGGCAATGCGCACAACGGCCCTGGAACGGCGTCGGAATCTGGCCTTCAGGTACTGAGCTGTGGTGTGGGTCTTTGACAAATATTCATGCTTCATGGCAGACTTTCCTGGATACTTTCGTTTGCCAAGCAAACAGTAACGGCACGGGATACTTTTTCTTCGAGGTATGTCTATGCATTGTAGTCTTTTTTTCACCTTGTCCTCAACAATCATATTCAGTATTTTGATGAGCCATGGAAGGTATGTTCTACTTGATCCCTCCCTTGGAACGAGTAATGTTGATTGCCTCATAGGATGCCCAATTTGGTGGTGTTGAAGTAAGTATTCTTCCACTTTATCGATTCTCTTTATTGATGCTTTTCTAGGGATGGTGGGGTTTGTTCACAAGCAAGTAAGAGCAGTCATACATAGACTGTTAACAATCGTCTAATCACCCTCTTCGATAGCCGAACTCTCAAGAATGTCAATATTCCCAACTGCCAGTCCCCCTAGGAGATGGAGGCGCTCTTCCCTTGTCACTAATTATTGACTTGTAGCAAGAAGAGACATTCCGTGTACTCGGTATTCTCGGACATTTTGCTGGACATTTGGAATCATGACCTTTATCTTACCATGCCATTTCTAGTAGCGCTTGGAAATTGCCTTGTTTACATACTTTGCACGACCTATTTATGCTTCGGAACTCCGAAGGTTGGCTTGCTATTGCTCTTCGTCGCCCGTCGGCATATTTACTGCAGGCACGGAACCCATTATGGACACCCTTTGCCGTCCATAGCATTGATGTAGAGTCTAGTGGCACTCCTTCTCGCAGCTGGTAGCGTCATCAATTCTTTGGCAAATCCTTTTCTAAGGACTTTCTACGCACCTTTGTATACCCCATATATAGCTCTTCAATTTTTGGGTACAAAGTGGAAGCACACAACCGGTTGCAACGTCGAGCAATTGTGTCTCACAAACCCAGGAAGACCCAGGAGCCATGAGCACTCCCGCTCAATCAATTCACACTCAACCTGAGTCATTTGTGCTCAGTTCGCAAGTGTATATATTCTTTCATTAGATGCTGATGGCTAGGGCTTCAAACCTATCTACTCTACGCGTACGTAGCTCACTGGTATTTAGCCAAATCAGACGGGCCTGGCCAGCCCTGGCCCACAAAAACCTCCCTTCTCCGGTTGGATTCCATCCTGCTCTTCTGGGCTTCTCCTAGTACTTACAGACAAAAGTCATTTATGTTCATATTCTAAATCGCAAATGTAAAGGAGAAAGTGTATCTAATACATAGCGAGCATGAAGGCCCAAGGGAAGGAAAAGTCACGGTTGATCAGTGGCCAGTTTCTGGGCGTGGGACAGTATTCAGGTTATTTATGTAATCCATTTCCATTTCACCATCCAAAAAAAAGTGCATTGGCCGGGAGTCGAACCCGGAGCTAGGCCACTTTGCAGTTGCTACTTGACTGTGGGAAGACCCAATGTTACCGCTACACCACCAATGCTTATAACATGGGTGTATCAATATGACCCACGTCAAGCCTGGGCAAGGGTGCTTGAGGTCTACCGAATGTGTGATTAGTACAGTGAACAGTTACAGTCTCCCCTCGCATTGACGTTTGTGGGATGTCACCATTCGTAAGTTCCTTGAGAGGCGTAGGCCGATACTATCGAGATGCGCGACGCGTCGAGGTGCCCGCTTTTAGAAGGTTTAAGATTTGGCTGTGTGTGGTGCTTTGAGGATTCAGACGCAAACATGACAAATGGCGAAGACGAATTTTCCGTTTCTACATAGGCTTGCAGTCCAATGCCCGTCAGGAAGAAGACATCTACGACACGTCTCCCACAGACATTAAGGGAGGAGATAGATGGTTCCACCGGTAAATAAGTTGTTGTACCGTGTAGTCTCAAGTTGACCTGATCTATTAGGCAATGATCATCACAGGATACACTCCAGACCGAAGGTATCTCGCAAGGAGGCTCGGAAGGAGGAACGTTTGAATCGTAAGAAGCACAAGGCAGAATATTTCTCTTCGGCCCCTACCTGGAATAAGCGTCCTGCTGAAGAAGACCATGCCGAATCCCCAGAACGAAAAAGGGCCAAGCACGATGTCGTAGCACCAACTGCCGAAGCTGTCATTAGATCGCATTCCACTGTACCCGTCAAGTCAATCAAGGCTGAAGCATCGACCAAGCTGACGCTGGCACCGACGGAGAAGAAGAAGAAGACGCGGACACCTCTTGAGAAACTTGCTGCCCCTCGTATTCCAGATAGGAAGGGCGACGAGGAAGACGCCTACATTTCGTACCTGGAGGCGCAGCTCGGCTACGCAAAAGGTGGAAAGAAGAAAAAACCCATCGAGGACGATGGTTTGGACGGTGAGTGAGATTAAAATGGCAACCATTCCCGATTATTTAACTGCGAAAATACACAGATCTCTTGGACTTCGCCGATACTCTTATTTACCGGGTGCGCAGACTCGACCTAAATTTACCGTTTCCCTTCTGACCCTTTTAAAGGATAAGGAAGGAGAGGTCGGGATGGATGATGCGAGGTTGGAGGATCAGATGGAAGACCAGGAGGTGGAGGACGATCAAATGAGCAGCGACGAAGAGCTAGAATCTGAAGGCACGGACTTAGAGTCAGGAGCAACAGACGAGGAAAACGACGGATGGCAAGGCATTGGAGAAGAGTCGGAAGGCGACGCAACTCCGGAACTCATAGCCTCGGCACGAGAAGGCAGTATGTTTCAATCCATTGTCTGGTCAACCCGTACTCACTTCTACGATGGTTTCAGCAACTCGGTATATCCCCCCGCACTTGAGAGATAATGAGGGCGCCGATGAAAAGAACTCTGAAGCAATGATCAAGCTTTCCAGACAACTTAAAGGTCTCCTTAATCGGTAAACAACTCCTCTCTCGCTCGGGATGTCTACTTATTTCCTATCAGGATGAGCGAACAGAATATGGGCGGCATTCTTGACAGTATTGAGGGTATCTATAGGGAAAATCGACGCAATGGTAATGTTCACCTTCGTCCACATATTGCTAAAATGCTCATGTGGAGCTCGACAGACGTCACTACCAGCCTCACAACCTTGATTATCGACGGTATCGCGTCGCATTCATCCCTACTGGATTCCTACGTTGTTCTCTATGCTGCCTTTGTCTCAAGTTTGCACAAAATCGTTGGCGTCGAGCTTGGTAAGTGGGTCGTTAGAACGACAGTACCGCATCTCATCACCATGTGTAGCTGCCTACTTCGTCCAAAATGTAGTTTCGTCGTATGAACGGCATTTTTCCACATCGCAGAGCGCATCCCAAGGACCAGAGACGAGATCCGACTCTCAAGGACTGGACCTAGACGCGGGCGGCAAAGAGTGCTCAAATCTGATTGTTTTGCTCTCTGAGTTGTACAATTTCCAGGTCATATCGTCCCTTCTGGTCTTCGATATCATACGCGGTCTTTTGGATTCCGGGCTCAGCGAATTCTCTGTGGAACTGTTGCTGAAAATTCTGCGAAGTATGCGCCATAATTAACTTTCCCGACTTTTTTAGAGTTGACCTATGCTCTGCAGACTCTGGGCAGCAACTTCGACAGGACGATCCTTCTGCACTGAAAGATATCATACAAATCGTTCAGAACAAGGTATCGGGTAAGGGCGATGCTCTCAGGTACATCCCGCCATGAGCCATGATGTAGCTCGTTGGATCTGACCCCCTTTGTACATCAGCTCGAGGACAAGGTTCATGATTGAGACACTCAGCAACCTGAAAAACAACAAGTTAAAAAGGAACGTTACTCAGAATCAAGGAGCAGAGTCCGTGGAGAGAATGAAAAAGTTCCTCACGGGCCTCACGAAAAAGCGACATGGTGAGTTTCTAGTCCTGTTTCGCAAGGTCTTTGTCTGACGTGTCGCATAGTCCTCGCACACGAACCTTTACGAGTCTCCCTTGCAGATCTTCACTCCGCCGGGACGAAAGGCAAATGGTGGCTCGTCGGTGCTGCATGGGGTGGCGATCCTCTAGTGGACCGGCAGGCGGAGGTCAAGGCTATCAAGGTAGCCGAAAATGCGGACCCCGCCGGCGATCTTGGGAAGCTCGCGCGCAGACAAGGAATGAACACTGATATTCGACGGAGTATATTTGTGGTGCTAATGAGCAGCGACGTACGTCAATTTATCAACTTCATGTTCCTTACTCTACTAACTTGATTTTAGGACTATGTCGATGCTTGTGAAAGGTTATCACAGTTGAATCTGACCGAGGTGCAGCAACGAGAGATCGTACGGGTCCTGTTGCATTGTTGCGGCAATGTGAGGTTTCTTTATCCGTTTATCCTCAATGGGGTGCTTACTCCTTAGCAGGAAAAATCCTACAACCCATATTACACACTTGTTTGCCAGCACCTATGCCGCACATCACATTCCTACAAGATTACACTTCAGTTCTGTCTATGGGATTTCTTCCGTGATCTCGGAGAGACATCAATCGGTGGTGCAGAGGTCATCAAGAACCTGAAGGACGATGAAGATGGGTTTGATATCAAAAGTATATCCACTACGCGAATGCGCAATGTTGCCAAGGCGTATGGATGGTGGATCGCGAAGGATTGTGTTACGCTTGCTATTCTAAAGGTTACTTACACCCGGCCTCACATCCGTCTCGCTGACTGACTTATTCGCTAGCCGGTCGACTTCACTTCCCTGAAACCTCAAACGAAAGAGTTCCTCCAGGAGTTGCTGGTTCAGATCTTCATCTGCAGCCAAAGGGCGACCCCCATGATCGCTTCGAACCCCAAGGACGTGCCTATTTCACGGAATCCTGGTGCTATCGAAGGGATCTTCATTAAGGCAACACGGATAGAGACACTCGCCATGGGTCTGGTATATTTCATCTCAGAAGCATTTCGCAACGTTTCAAAAGAGGAAGACGCGATGGGAAAACTCGTCAAGTGGGCAAGCGGGTTAGCAAAGGACACGCTACAGACTGGTGTCGACATAGTGCCAACTCTATGAACCGATAACCCTGTCATATTCCCGTAGACTTTTGGAAAGCAACGCTAGATACTATACTCCCTTTCCTGCCTCCGAATTCGAAGGTGGGATGTGCTATTCGGGAGCTATGGTGGTTGGTTGAGAGGAAGAATCAATCTCGAAGTCACATCGCACTTACTGGTACACTAGACACGTGTCGCTGGTCGCAAATTGTGCTTGTATCTCCTCCTCGGTGAAATTGCATGCTGGAAGGGATCACCGATATGTAGATGATTGTACAAGGGCGAAGAAATGGAAACGCACAAGTGATAAGAAAGTATCCTCCCGGCTTGAGTGTCTTACCAACACGTCCAGGATATCTCGCTGCAGGTGATTTTCCATCCCCATCCTTAGCCCCCAGGGCAATAGCGTCGAAGGTCCCCTTGTCCAAGATTAGATCCCATACACCTTCCGAGCTGTCTTGCATGTGCGGTAGCATTGGTGGGTCGTCCTGCAAGAAATCAGAGGTGTTGAATGTAACATCCTGGCTGCGCGCCGCAGCTATGGATTCGGCGAGTTTCACGGCGCCGGGGCTGTAGTCGATCCCAGAGAGGTGAGTCGTGGGATAACCGGCTTCGGCCAAGGCAAACAGTAAGGTTCCATTCCCGCTACCGATCTCGACTGTTGACGGATGCAAGTGGGGAGGGACGTTCTGAACTGCCCAATCGACCATCCTTTCTACGGTTTCTTCACCGAACCTAGATCGGATGAGATGGAAGAAATAGATACGTTTCGGGTCTTACCAGACCTCTCCCTCATCGCCAATCTCCTCGAAGTTGTTTAACTCCTCCTCATAGACATTATCCCAACTGACGACAGGGAGGATTAAATGTGAGCAGAAGAAACTGCAAATAAGTAAACGTACTGTTCTTTTGTACCAAGTTTCGAGGGTCGCAATGAGTCTGCCATTCAAAAGGCAACTTTCTCGCTTAGTCATCTTAGCTCTCGTATGCCTCCTCAGTAGGAGGGGTCCAGTGTTAAGATGATATAGCGTTAAGATGCTCCGAGCGCATCTAGGAAGCTAAATAATGTGAAGAAAACAGAAGAATCGCGACACTGACGCTATTTGAGAGCATTACAATGGCGTCGTGAACGTCAATGATAATGAATGGTAATGACACTCAATTCCCCACACACAGGCAGGAGAAGATTATGATGCATGGATAGGATTCGTAGGATGAGAGGAGGGTAATAGTGCTCAATGCTGATTATAGGACGATAAATGGTAATGATACAGTGACAAGAAACTGGTATGAGAGAATAAAACTCTGTCAATTTCCCTTCTGCGAAGACTGCTGAAGTCGAACTTACCAATATGCAAGGTTCACCGGCCCTTTCCGTCCGTTTTGTCTAGTAAATCTTTCGCCTCGTTGATTTTACTCGCAAGATATGGCGAACCGCCTCTGTCAGGATGGTTTGCAAGCATAATATGCCGGTGGGCGTCCTTTAGTCTGGTGCGCAACTGTGG